GATTAATGACTAATTATCCTTACTTAAATGTAACGATTATAATTTAATATCGACCTTCATATCAATACTTTGTTACCGTTTCTACATTCATATTTCACATTTTTCATCTTCTAGCAAAGCATTTTCATATTCGGTCAAATTACAGTTATGTTAGTATATTTTCTATCAATTTATATTCGAAGTTTAACTCGTTTGCTACGGCGGACGACTATAGTTGCTCTACCAATACAATAACTAAAAGTTATTATTATTCGCGAAAAATCTTTTTTCAAGTAATATCATTAAAACAACTTATAACGCGCAGTAAGGCATAAATTTGTCGTCACGTAATGTGTGCATTTTCGTTGCGGCGTTTCGTTCCACGGAAGTGTTACTGCTATTAGGACGCTCGTAGCGAAAGGGTTAAAACGTTGTTTCAAAAAGTTTATGAAAGTAAACTAAACAGTCGCCATAGCGTCATTTCCAACATGTTCCCTCAAAACAAAGGACTGTTCTTTTCACGATTCGAATTCAATCTTGATGGAGTCAAGCAGCTCGCAACAGCGCTCAATGTTTGACGCCAAGCAATCTTTTTAAATATGCCGTCGGTTGCAGTCTTGCTATCTGCACGAAATGATATCGAACGTCAGTGTGCTTCGTTATGTTATGGTAGACTGGATTCTCGCCCAGTTTTTTTTAGCTCTGTTGTTGTCATACAAGTATCACTAACTCGTTAAATCCCAACTCTGTGAAAAACTTCTATATTACGAGGTACTGGGATTTTCTGAACATTCCATATTATGTCCTTAGTTGAGTTTATTTCCTTTTCTGAAACCTCATATTCTATATTCTACTTCTGTTCGTATAAAAAGGCACCTATCTAATCGTAACTATAGTCTGTTTATACTGATTAAATTAAATATTTTTTGCAACGTATTCATGTGTTCTTACAATGTTACTGATGCGATAAGAATGTTATCCATGTACACCACTATTTTTAGTTCCCGAATCAAGTCAGCTATTATCGAATTAATGTATTTTTGAAATCTGAATAGTGCTACTTTTGGCTCAAAAAACATGCGTAAAAATTCGAATTGGCTGAATTGTTGTCTGATCTAAGATTTATGAGGATCCATTCTGTATTTCTCCAAGCCCGCAAGAAACTCGTCGTAAGGTAAATTCTAACGCCGGCTTTTCACAACACCAGAGATTCAGTTTATATTCATCTTGTATATCCATCAGCTTGCAATGTTGTACTCTCGAGAAGTGGTCTAACGACCAAGCTGATTCCGGGTAGATTGGCGTCAGGCCTAGCCAATCGACGGACAGGTCGTCTAAGTCTTTACGCCCTCCGTTCGGCAGCCTTCCCTGAACCATCCTGGTCCTGAGACCTGCCGTGCTCTCAGAGTGTTTCACTGTCGGGCGGACTGTATTTCTTCTCTGCTCTTGTCCAATCGACCGAGTCTAGTTTTTTTCCCATTTAGGGCTTCTGGCATTTTCGTAATTCCTTACCATTCTCTGATCCTCCATCGTCGTCGTCTGTGTCGCTTCCAGGAGCCTTTCCAACTTCTTGTATCTCGCCTTGGGACCATCAGCAGATGAAATCGTGATTCCGCTTGAGTTTTCCGACCTGGGCCTTCCCTCGTCAAACTCTTTAAGTCCAGGTCCATGGGCCTGTTCAGGTAGCATTGTTGTACGCCTGTTGCTGGCTGGTCCCTGAAACCTCGGAACAACACCGTTCCCTCAGAGTACTGACAGACGGTCACAATCGCTGCAGTCCCATACGGCACGATGAGGGTCTTCAAAACCTTCCGGCGGATAATCTCTCACGCGGATGGAAACACCGAATCCCATTTGTTACAGAGAGTAGGAGTAATTCTAAAGTTTATCTTATATTGTTATAGGCCAGACTGCGCAAACGCATTTTTAAAATGATTCATTTAAATCGCTACGAGAAGAATTTTATTTCAAACGATTATGACTTTTAAATGTTAATAAAACAATTTATTTCATATAAGAATCATATATGAGTCGCACATCTGTCGCAACAATCTTTCAGGCACAAATAATTTAAATTTATACAGTTCGTTCTTATCATTGCTATTATTAAACAAGATTCATGGATTTATAATGTATTTGTAACTTCAATGGTACGGTTATCAGTACACAAATCTTCTACTATCAAATGACAGTTTTTATCGTGTTTTAAATAAATATGTTTAAAGTGACTTCGTGATTCTATAATTTGCAATGAAATGTTAACAATAAATAGTAACAATACGTAGTATCTTAACAATACAGATTATATTCGCAGTTGTATATATTTTGTTTGAAGTAATTATAAGTGTAACAAATCGAAATCGAGGAATCAAACTTATCTTATTTTTATTTACTTATTTTTTCATCGAAGATGAAGTAATTTTAAAAAGATCAGAGACCACACTGGGTCCGATTAGGCAGTTTCCAGAATGCTGTAAGCACTATCGAATCGCACTTTGGTCGTTGAGATAATAAGAAAAGAATTAATTTTGTTCGATTCGTAACGCTGTTCATTAGATATGTACCTATCTTTTTTATTATTCACATGTTGTCATGGTATATAAATGATGCAGTGATATTCTTTATAAAAGCATTTAAAAGATAAAATACTTACCACAAATATTACATTTAGGTACATGCATTCTATTCTTGAAATAATAAAAATTGATAGGGGTATGGAATATACCGGTATATGAAGATAATATTAATCTACAAAAAGCGTACAAGTTGTGCCGTTCAGCGTTTAACAGGCCGAAAGTCCCTCTGGTTGGATCGCGTTCTACGCTAGGGATAGCACAAGAAGGCACATTTAGTGAAATGGTCTTCCTTGAAGCTGTGGCTGTTTGACCTAACGTTGAAAGATATTCTGTAGAATATTCCACGCCTGGTGATAAATGAAAGTCACGGCTCGTGTATTAGTCCGCGCTTGGTGATAGGTGACGATCGTCATGAGCGGAATATTTCGCTTACGGATGCAAATGGATTAAGTCGACTTTGTTGCCGCTTATAATAAGCCGCCTCATGCGTGGAAATACTATAGGGTACTATAAGAACACCACAGCATGCAGAAAAGTGCAATATGACATCTTTCTATCTAAGCGATCGCCGACATTCCACATATCTCTGTATATCTGTTCGGCAAGAAATTTTGAAACCCAATGAAATTTCTATACTGCTACTATTACTAGATACCCTGATCGAACCTTTTACATAAGTAAATGTCGCTACGACGCTAATAAGAAATTGGTCATTTATTCTGAAAATCATACGTTTCAATTAACAAGAGAAACCACTACATGTAAGAGATGTTATTACAAATACAACATAACTGTATTCAAAATAGTTCAAATACTTAACTAAATTTGTTCATTAATTCTGGGGTTACTCTTGGTACTGATTCTAAAAATTACTATTTTAAGAAAAATATTCCGGTTACTGAACGAGATTGAGAATTTTGAAGTATTGACATAGGGTTATTATGGATCTGACGAAAAACATAAAATCGAATATTCACTTATAGCTACTTCTTGTAAACTGTTCTGCTGTTGGATCTTTTTACATAAGGTAATATATGTGTCTTAATATTTATATTTAGATATAATTAAATATATATAAATATATTTTTCATAGGAAAATAAATACTTTATAAAGATAATGATGAATTTCTTTCGGGGCTGAGCATTTTATGACGAAGCTTCAAATTTCCAACGTGTACATTTTGACTGAATAATTAGACACTTTAATATATGTATCACTTTCATTCATTCATTTCATTAATACATAACATTTTACCTTTTTAGGATTCTGGCCTACAAAATGGGTGATTCCTCCAGTTTCCAGTTGCATTGTAAAGGTGATTGTTTATTATTATAATCGTAATATAACTGTATTATGAATGATATATTAAAATGTATAGATTCTTTATGATGAAATTTTGGCTAGAGTCCTGAATAAAAAGATGACAATTTCTGTTCTTAAATGTACTGACATTTTTAATCGCAATATATCAAACGTAATAATACGAATTAAATTTTATGAAAAAAACGTTTATCTTTGTTACAGTGTTATGGTGCTCAATAAATAGCAATCTACACAATCATCTTGAAAATGAATTATTTCTTAATTATACCTAAATTATCGTAATAGATAAATAGAAATACTTCTATACCAATTAAAAAACACAAAGTTTTTATTCTGAATATTTTAAAACATGCCTCCTTGTTTATTCCTCACATTTTTAATGCTATATTTTTTGTAATTTATTTTTATATTTTTTATCGAAGAAAATTTCTTCTATTCATTTGACAGTGAAGCAAATTAGAAACCGGCGTTAAATTTATGTAAAAAAATTATTTTTACACTTGTTCGATAAAAGCTATATGGTGCATGAAGGAATAGAAACAATGGCTGATTGTTTCTATTTATCCTACAATTTTGGAATACTTTATTTCAAATTACAAAACAAACGATGAAGCTTCTGTAAAATAATCACAACGATCGTAGATTTATATGTTAAAATAATAAGTAAAGTAACACGTGATAAGGTCGCTCATAATTATGTAAGTATACATAATTATATAAGTTTTCAAATATGCTCCACTATGCTCAGTTGTTATGTGGTCTCCCAAAAATATTCTGTCATAAACTTTGTACTCAGAGTGATAAGCACTGAGTTATATTTTGTACAGTACTATTCAAGTATTTTTAAATACTTGCTTGAAATTTATGACATAAAAGTTCCTAATTACTTGATTTCATCAAAAGTTTCATTTTTATTCATTCCATGTTATTGTAATTTAAATCAATGTCAGTATGCCATTACTGCAGAATGTATTTTAAATAATAAAATGTTCAAGAAATATACTTTTACTTAATGTAATTATTTAAATCCTACTTACTATAATAATTAAGTTTAGGCGACAATAAGTAATAAGTGGCACTATAAAAAGGAATTAAAATTCCAATCTAAATTTTTACTTCATAAAATATTTTTTGTACAGAAAAATAGATCAAATAATTGACAATTCCTTAGAATTTGAATATCAAATGTCATTTAAAGATTATGTATTAGTTTTCTTGCCAATATAATTACGATTAAAATTTGTAATTATAATTAGGTCCTATTTTTTTGCAAGAGCTATTTTATTGTAAAAATCATTAGCATTAATTAAGTAAAACTATTTTTACTTTTGCGGTACGAACTACTTCATATTATTTGATAATAAAATAATACGAAAATATAACATTTATCAAGATAAGAAAGAATTTCGTTATTATGGTACATATATTATTCTTCAACGCAACGCGTTTCACATTGGTTACATTTAAATACATTAATTATTGCATAACGATTACAACACGTGCGGTATACTTTCTTTCGCATCAAACGCTCCATTAGTGATGAAATCCATAATTATTCGAATGGTTCTCAATGAATAATGGAATGAACACTGAAATATAAGGAGTTGAAACAATTTGAAAATATTTGAGATTTTCAAATGTTTACGCATTCAATAGTATGTTTATCTGATTTTGTACAAATAAAAAATATAAAATTTAATTACTTTTCATTTTGAAAGAATACAATTTTAGAAAAACATTTACTTTAAAGTTCATCATATTCATTTGAGATGAAACAAATTCCTAAATTGTAGCAGTGATTCAGAGATCTCCATAAGGTTAATTTACTTTAATGGAGTTGTTATCGAGTATCCATCACTGAGCATCATTGTCAACTACGAGAGAGTGTCCGATAAGAAGGAAAATCTATTTTCCTGATCGTTTCCTTGATTATACCAGTCCTGTTCATGATTGGAATTCCTTGTGTGATTTGATATTTCTCTATTCGTTACATTGTGTTATGTTATTGTGTTTATGTCGGGCCCTCAGAAACAAATTTAGTCATTTATTTAATGTAAAACACTGACCATCACAATAGTTATTCATTCCACTGTAGTTTCTGAAATTGATGATATTTAGACAGTCTGACAATGAGTGGGGTAGACACATATTCTCATGATCAGCAGTGTGCTACAGTAAAACTATAGTAACTATAATTGTAGAAAATCATATTGGTTTCAAGAACAATTCTGAACAGGACTGGTTTACCCACATATAACGCAAGATAAAGTACATAATATACACATAAATTACATAGATACAAGTTGGCATAATTTGATTTTATATACAAGATACAAGCAACACTGAAAAATCGTTTGATCCACCTCGATAGGAGATGCTACGCTGAGTAGGTCCATCGTCTCGTGCCTTCTCACGAAATCTATATTTTTTGGCGTTCACGAGTATTTTATTTTATTATCGGTTATAAACGTGCCTGCGTGACAAATGCCTATAGTACTAATACTTCTTTATCACGCTATATTCGCAATATTTATGTCACTTACATTTATCAACAAGTCAATTCATTCGTTTAATTTCTATTCTACAAGTCAAAAAATATGTTGATGTTAAATTTTTACATTTCCAACTAAATAATTTACAATGTACTTTTACAAAATAACAAGCAAATGTTGAAAACAATTATTTGTTTAGAGAATAATAGTATTTGATGTTCTGGCAAATGATTCAACATACCGGTAAAAAATATTCATCAATAGCGACACAAAAATACTATGTGCCATTTGGATTACAGGTTTCATTTAGTTTTGTACGCAACACACATTGCATATAACGATATATTTAAATATTCAACGTACATTTTGTATACTCTTAGTACATATTTACAAATAATACCACACGACTAAAAAAACTAAAAGGTGAAGGAGTGTAGGAAAATGAAAATACTGTATGGAAATAAATTTCTATGTATACTGGATATTTGATGAATATCAGAATACATCTCCTTTTAGTATTTCAGTTGATGTTGAATTTTACTTTTCTAGACTTAATACAATGTAATTCATATATAGACATACGTTAATTATTTTTCTATTTGTATTTAACTGTGGTATTATGTATAAGTACGTGCAAAGTATTGAAGAAAGGACAGTTTTAAACTTATTATCAATCTTGTATAATGAGTTTTTGCATGCTACATATTATCATTTATGTTACATAACAAAAATCAAATTTTGTTCAAATAATTGATGATAAGTTATAATAGTTTGTAGAAACGTATTTAGGATGTATACTTGATTAAATACCTGAGTAAAGTCTTCATTATACGCACAATGAAATTGTATATCTTTTATAAGTAATACATTGTTTGTAGGTTTCTAACATTGAAACATAGAACAATATTAAACAGTATTGTACAATTCTACAGAAGAAAATAATGCTTCATTATTAACATCTACAAACTTACATTATAATTGAATCAAACAGCTAATAGAAACAGAATTCTACACATTGTTTTAACTTATCATCTATTGCTTGAATAAATTTTTATCTTTGCTGTGTACTATGTATAAAAGCAAAGTCAGATTGGTGACCCAAATGTTACATGGTCTCGGTTTAAAATTTTTACTATCAATTTTATACATGTAGCCCAATTATATTTAAATACGTTTAATTTGTTGAAAGATTCATCGTAATTTTGTGCTATCCATCATGGATAATAAATCCGAAATATAAGGATTGCACAATTACATAATTGCATATTTCATTCTGCAAGAATGAAACTTTTATATCTGTAAGAAGCTGGATAACAAAGTTATAATTTTTCTAGTCAATGACACGTATACAAAACACGTATGTGTTCATCGTGTTTACAGAAAACATTGCTAAACTTATAAGATTTAATATAACGAAAATAAATTAAGCTAATAAACTTAATATCTTCTATTCTCCATTGTATCGCCTATCATTTCTGAATGGAGAGACACCTTAGTTAAAAAGGAGAAAATAACAGTAATCACACTTTATATTCGAATCACTATACAGACTAAATTCAATCCGTCGTTTTTTTCGAATCTATACGACGAAATAAATATTATTACATAAACATATATGCATGGAATATTTATAAAAGGCGTACGGTAACTGGAGTATATTAAAAATTGAAATAATTATTTTAGAAATAATATTTTCTTTTGTCTAAAATTTAGTTCTTGCTTTTTATTTTTACTTTATTTATAGTCATAAGTACCAAACATGCGATAGAGTGGCCATTAAAATCATATTCTGGCGTGTAGTTGTAAATTTTCTATTAGATTCGAAAGTATTTCATTCGTTAAATGGTACAAATAACGTGATAACAAAAATCTATTTCAAGCGTTCGACTATACATGAACAAAATGAACAGATAATTCATACAAATTGTTATATTCATCTACGGTTCGCCAGTGATGTATTATGTATGTACAAATCCTTGGGCGACAATTCATATTTTTTCTCATTTTTTTGGTATGTATATATACACATGTATGTATCATAATATTTCATTACGCGAGGTTCCGTACGGTAACCATTTAACCATTAGTATATCCAAATTTCAGGAATATGCAAACGCGGCGTAAATAGCACACGCAATAATATAATGTTGTACAATGTACAATACGACACATAAATTGTTTTATGTAGAAATGTTCAACAAGTTACACATTATATATTTGTGTCAGTATGAAAGCGTTTTATATTCTTTTTTTAAGTTTTAGATTAGTTAATGTTTAACTGGTAATACAATTAAATTACTATATAAAAAGAATACTCTTCTTAAAGCGTGACGATGTTCAAAATTATTTCTGGCTACTACTGCAATGCAAAAATTGAATTTATATGTAGCCAAGAAAATGAGAAAATTATATTATATAAATGGAAAAAAAGAAATATACTAAAAAGGAACAAATTTCCGTACCATGTCTGACGATAATTGTTATGTAGTATCCTGCGTCGTGAACAATAAAACTCGTCACTGGAGTTTTTACTTTCGAATGATAACGGTATTCCGATTAATTACCACTAGCACTATTAAGTACCAACAAACGCACCAACATTCATGACGGCACTTTCGGTTCTTTGTTTCGCCTAGAATTATTTCACGTTTCTGCTTGTAGACTGATCCCATTTGCTGGACTGTTTGATTGTTTTGTTTGATCAGTGCTGGAATAGGAAGGTTCATGTACAGATTATACGTTGAACCGTGTTTCAGATCCGTCAGCAAGCATCAACGTAACGGTTCGGTTATTTATCCATATTAGACGAGCTAGTCGCATAGGATTTAATCGCGCTACATCATTAATTGGCGCGGTACTATATGACTTAACGCAACGCGTTTGTGAATTTCCTAGACCAAACATTCCGCTACTTGTTTGCTGGAAACATTTAATGTTTTTATGAAAATAAATAAAATATTATGATTATTTCAGTGTCTCGTAATATAATTGTAAATAAAAGTATTTTTTACCTGCCAAAAACATAACTTGTTTTCCGTACAAGAGTAACTAACCAGGAACTTGCCCTCAGGTGAAAATGCTAACGCTGTTACAGATCCCGAATGCGCAGGTACTGTTTGGCATTTAACGTTACCTCGCAGTTCGTACAGAGCGAGTTGACCGTTTCGACTACCTACTGCTATCCTGCGGGTTGCTGGACAATGACTTACCTAAACGAAGATATACAGTTTTACCATCTTTCGAAAGAAAAACAAATAATTTTTGTACAAATTATCAACTTACTTGATTAAATCTACATACGGCTGGGAATACATCATTTAATGGTTTGGTTTTCAGATGACCTGGGTCCAAGCAATGTAAAATAATATCCATGACCTGTGAATATTAACTATTGCATTAAGTATATAAAATTTCAGGTTGTTTGATTTCAATTAATACTATTATCCTTACCTCCACTAAAAGATCGCTCATTTCGCTTTGCATTTTGTCGATTAATTGTTCAACAATTCTGAGTATTTCTGGTTTTGCCCTAGCTAAAACACTTGCACCCATATTTACATTTAACGTTTGCGCATTTTGTTGTAGTGTATTGTACCTAGCCACTTCCCGTGCCATCGTAGTAATGAATGCTGCGGGTCTTGCAGTGGCTATTAAAGTTAAAGCATGACGTGCTGTACGACATGTATCTGCCTGAGGTGTAAGTGGAAGGCCATATGTCATGCTTGGTACTAATTTATCTGCATCGCAGCACATTTCCAAAAGTCCTAATAATACCTGTATTATCATAGGGTAAAATTAATAAATATTTATTGTTATTGTATTAATGGAAAGAAATGTTACAATGGTATTAATATTATTTTTACTTTTGACACATCAAGATACAGTTCCCAGACAGTGAATCCTCTACCAATAAGATCAATTGCTGCCCTTCTTAAAGCTGTGTGTAAGGGCAACTTTGGTGAGTGAGGTGCATGTAACAGATGTGTAAGTGCCATAGTAGTATGTCTGGCAAGATCATTGTTTCCTATTCCAAAACCTTCTACGATTGAGCTTTTTCGTCTTTGATCATTATCTCTTCTTTGATTCATAGTAGCAACATCCTGACCAAATTCAGCTCCTATTACACCTAGTAATACAACTGCTGTTGTCTGCTTCCGTTTCAATTCCGCTACACTCGAAGGTTTCCTAGCTGTATTTATTTCTGCTGATGAGTATGTACAATTCAGATATTTGATTTGTTTGAAATAATATAAAAATAATTTAATGCATTAAATACCTTCAGTCAATTCCTCTTCTTCATCTTCTTCTTCTTGATGGGTTTCAGTTGTAGGTACTGGACTGCCAGATGCTGGAGGACTTTGGTTCTGTACTTGCGGTGCAATGGGTTCTTGAGTACTATACATTGGTAAATATTGTGACCAACTGTCTACAAGTGTTTTCCTTCCTTTTGGCCCCATTCTAGTTAATTCAGCGAGTAATAAAGCTTGAGCTGCTTCACGTATCTAAAATATCACCACTTCATTTATAACCATTCAGGGCATGTAATTCCAATAATAACTAACCTCAAGACACTGATGTTGCCATCTCCTTGCCATCATTTCGACTTGAGGTCGCTTAAATGTCTTTGCACCACCTTGTGCAGTTACTTTATCAGGCAAGAGCACGCAATGTAGTGTTGCCAAAAGGGACCAACCTTGTTTGATCTGTGCTTGTTGCGCAGTATAAATTTCCTCATTTTCTTCTTCTGCTTTGTTCCAACTAACCGCTGATCTATTACCTGGTCTATGTAAAGTATATGAATGAAATCTATTCTACATTTCAATTGTTCTACAAAAAAGGACTAACCTATGCATTTTTCGATTTCTTTCTTGTTCAGATACAAAAGTTGCATTGTTCATTGACATTAAAGTATTTGCCAAAGCAACTATTGCCAATAAATGATTACTGGTTAATGTGGTAGATAGCTCCCAATGCGCTCTTGCTGTGAACGCTCTGGTAAGTCTTTCTTGTCTAACTAATTCAACTGGTAAACGTTGCTCCAATTGAGTTGCAGGTTCACCAACTGGTTCCAGTTGTGTTTGCCAAGTTGGTAATAATAATGACATGTAACCTATAATAAGCAATTGTAATTGAAAAATGTGAATTTATGTATGACAATCAAATTCTCCTACCTCCTTTAGATAATACTCCAAATGAAACAGGAACCATAGGTCTCAATAAGCCTAATTTTCCTTCACAAACACGGTCCAAATCTGGATCCAAACCCCAAGAATGTAACAGACTCAATATAAGCTGAGCTACTTCCATAGTTGCATTTGGTTCATTAAAAGCTCCATTTCGTTTTAAATTATTTTTAGCAGCATCACTATTGTTCCAGTTTTCACCTATAAGAAATCAAAATATCTTACATACTTATACATTTCACAATTTGTAATCTACAAAAGTGCGCATTGAAAAAGTGAAATGTAACAGGAACTTAAAGCTTTCCATCTATTTTACCATCAAGTTTTCTGAAATAGAAAAAGAGTACATAATAACTACTTCAGAAACAAGAAGCCAATATGTTTTAATTCTAAATATTTATCATTTAAGAGGTATAAAAAGTTTTACAATAGTGTAAAATTTAAAAGTGAAAATATGAAACGAAAATTTTAAATGTGTTTCATAGATATATAACATTAATATTAAGTTTGAGTAACTGTTTGAACAACTAATTCGTTATATCTTGTACATTCGGTGCTTGTAACTTACTCTAGAAAAATATTATGTGACATTGCTTTTTTACTTGAAGATGGTGTAATCAGAAATGAGTAATTTGCATCAAACTAACTATTATCAAAGCAGTGAACTAATGTGTAAGTGCATTGAAACAGATGTTAGTAGTCATTCTTAGTGACTTGTATTGTAAACATCAAAGTGAAGAATAAACACAATTTTTTATAAAAAAATAAAAAAAAATTAAAAAATGAAACGTCGAATCTATACTAACGAAAATAACTCATGCGACATAATTTCAATAACAAAAGCTACAATGATTTTGTCATTTTCTTTAAATCGTGGCTAACCTTTGCCGTCAAGAGTGGACGGCTTGAGGCCAACACTTTCCACTTTGGCCTGAATTTTAGTGTGTACGTTCTCTGCACCCTCCTTCATTTTAGCCAATATACCTATAGAAAGAAATTGGCTTTAGATCATGTAATAAACAAAATCTGTTCTCAACACAAATCTTCTATCAACTATAATTGCAATAAGGATTAAAAGCTCTACAACATTCGAGTATGATATGAATCAGAGTTATATGCATGAATTGACGAAATCAATATAAAAAAAAACTATAATCAGTTTTAAGCAAATGAAGAATATAAAACCTTGTTTCTCTATATAAATTTCTATCGGAATAAATTTACCAAATAAACAAACAAATATGATAATCAGTCAAAAATATAATATATAGATTGGAGGTTTGAGTGAAATAGAATACAGCACTACTACTTAGACGAAAGTGTAATATCAATTAAAACAGAACTGTTTTAAGGTTTAAAATATACTTTGAATAATATGTTATATCTCACGAATTCACATAAACCTACCTGCATATTTATGTATATGTGATCACAAAAGAATTTTTATGTATTTATACAAGATGTATATGGAAAAGTTTATGTAAAAAAAACTATAGAAAATCAAAATACAGTAAAAGAAACTAATGACTCTGACTTCTTTACGAAACTTCTACTCTACAAAAAAAGTATATACAAACTACAATTCATAGAAGGAAACAGTAACAGAGCACGATACCGTGACGATCCTTTTCCTTTAAAATTCGTTCAACGTCGCCTGCTTTATCCTTGACACGACCAAAAAAGTCTACAAATTGGCATGTTAATGTAAATGTTTTCATTAATATACATATTGGCTAAGTTCCAGAAGCAATATTTACATTTATTTTATAGAAAAGAAAAAAAAACAAGTTTTAACCTGCAATTTTCTTGTGAGCGTCTGGGCTAGCAGATTGTGTAAGGGCTGCAACCTTTTGATACTCCGAAGCTGAAATTAGACCTTGTGCTTCCAAAGAACCAGGTGACATTGCTCCATATTCATCGCTAAGTAATTGCACTATATAGAAAAAAGTGCTGTTACATAAAAAAACAATTTGTTATTATATACAGTATAAATAAAGTAAATAAGTAGTACCTATTAAAGCTTCTATATCAAAAAATAAAATATGACTTTCTGGATCTTTGGGATTACTTCTGAAGCCTTGAATCATTAAGGGAGCGCCTTTTGCTTTTATTTGATTTCCATGGTCGGGTCCCTGCCCACCATGAAGTTGTTGTAACTGATGCAACCCCCTCTGTGTTGCATGTCTGATCGCAGATAGATTTCTGTGTCTTAAGCCTCTAAAGAAACAAAACATCAAAAATGTAATAACAGCATTTGTTTTTAGAATCCTCTCCCAAAAATTCACTCAAGGTTCTCACCATCCATGTTGCAAGATTTCATTTACCTAAAAAAATGCACAGCAGGATTGGCTAAGCCTAATTCACCACCAGCAGCTGATCCACCAGATGCTGTCATTGTATTTTCGTCACAAGCGTAGAGTACCTCCTCAGCAATAATACCTGGAAGAATTGTAGTTGCGATTTTATAACATTATAACTAAAAATAAAAAAATGTAGATATTTGATATAGATAAAAAATATATTCGAACCATGTAATACACGATCTAAGTGACCAGTTTCCATTTGCCATACGTATACAGCCCCGTCTGAACATCCTACTATCATAAAGTCATCCAGTGGTCTCCATTTTATTGTAACAACTGGAAACAGATGACGAGAAGCAAGAACAACACATTTTCTCTCTGCTAGTGACAATAAAGTCACACTGTGGTCTGATGCAACACTGCAAACGCACTTTTGTATTCTAGGCTATAAAAAAGAAATTTCATTATAACTGTGTAAAAATATAGTAACTGCAATTTTATGCAAGGTACTTTATAAAATAGATAAATATAACAATTGTGAGAAAAAGATACATACACTACAATTATCAGGTGGCACCATTAATTGTGTAATTTCACCAGCGTGGACGCAAAATCTATGAATTAGCGTTCCAGCATAAAGATCCCATAGGCAAACAGCAAAATCGACAGAACCGGAAACAAGGTGTACCCGATCGTAACGCGGTGCAGCTCCATGTGGATATAAAAGACAATTCACTCTACCAGAATGGCCTAAAAGTATTTGGTGCGGAGGCCAATCTATAAACCACATAACAAAATAAAAAGGAAGAAGTATAACCACATAAAATTTTATTTCAAGTAATTTCATTTGAATAGCAGTATTTGTTAAAAAAACTTTAAAATATAAATATTATTGTACCATCATATTGCTGATGATTGCCATGAAGCAATTGCAGCATGACTGTTTGCGTTGCAGGAACAATGATAATACTGCCGTCTTCCCTACCAACAACTAAGCGACTTTGTTGTGGTAAATATATGCTAGCTGTTAATTTTATACCATGTCCGTCTCCACTGTCTAGTTGATCTAGTATACCAATCGGTGGTGGTTTCATTTCTTTCCAAGCAGTAGTGAGACTTGTTTTTACTGCTGGGGGCAAAGAGAGAGGTGTTGAGCGATCACTTTGACAGATTTGAGTTAGTTGTTGAGTCGTTACTTCTGGCACTGTCCACAGAACAACAACACCCTCGCTATCACCACGTAATAAATACTTTAATGTTTTATTCTGCTTTTGAACTGTAACTAATCGCATTGCTGGTGGACACGATAAAGGCTACAATAGAAAAACATGATATAATAATGACTTGGACTTTTGTAAACTACTTATAATTAAAATTTTATTTTCTAACAATTTTGTACCTTATCTCCGGGTTGTGTCAGAGTACAGTACAAGTACGGTTGGTCATATTCAACACTTGCAGTATGATAATTCTTATTGTCTGCAACGCTACTATATAATTAAACAAACAAAAAATATACTATATTAGTATCTGAAATTTTTTACTCAACAATAACACCATTTATGGGCAGCAATTTATAATAAATACTAATATAAATCATTAAAGGTATTTTATAGTCCATAAATGGCATTTATAATGTTTTATACAAGCTTATTTAAACATGTTAATTTTAATTGCTTAATTTATTACTCATTTAATAAAAAATAATAAGTAAGCAACATTACATTGCATAATTTTATTTAATTCAATTATAAAACTTATTAAGCCAGCTTCAATCTAATAAAAGAATTTTTATATAAAAACTTATTTATGCAATAAGCACAATAAATAAATTGAGCATGAGTAATTGCGTGTGACGTAGTATTAATTATTATTTAAATCATTTTTACCATTCACCCATTTGATGATATAAAAATAAATAAAGTAATGATACATGCAAAGCAACTAAGAACAAATAGGAGATGAAAACAGAAGATTTGAAATGCACAGAAATATTGTACCTTGTGCGTAACAATTTCCTTTAATATATTTTTATGTTGTATATTTTACAATTATATTTATTTAAAAACTAAAATAT